GTCAGATCAAGGAGGCGGGTATGAGAGGGAGGGTTGGTCATGGGATTAGGCCGGGTTGGGGAGATTATCTTCCAGTCGCAAACCATTTCAACTCCCCCTCCCACTCCCACTCTTGGGTGACATGTCCATTCTAGGCCTCTTCCAGTGTCACAATGATGCCACCTGCAAACTGGCGGAGCAGCACCTCATTTCGCCTTGGGAGTCTACAGCCCAATGGCCTAAAATGTGGATTTTACCAGTTTCAAAATCTCCCCACTCCTGGCCTCATCCCATGACCAACCCTGCCTCCCATCTGCACCTCCTTGACCTAACACAACCTATCCAACTTCTCTCCCACCTCACTCTACCTGCACGCACCTATCATAATCCCACCTACCTTCTCCATCCCCATCCTTCCTCCATCTATTTATTTCTGAGCTCCATCCCCTTTCCCATCTCTGAAGAAGGGTTCCGACACAAAATGTCAACTTTCCTGCTCCTCTGATGCTACCTGGCCTGCTGTGTTCTTCCAGCTCCACACTGTTATCTGACTCCAGCATCAGCAGTTCTTACTATCTCAAACTTCTGCAGTCTTTGCACACAGCCCAGTCGCATTTGATCAATCTCCAATGTGCACTCTAAGCCCTGAAATTCTTGTGAAAATGCAAGGTCCAGAACTGGACACAAGGCTCCAGCAGAGGCTGAGGGTAGATTTCTTTGTCAACATTCACCCAGTTTTCTTGATTTGTATTCCACGCCTAAAGTGAATACCTTTAAGCAGCCTTTCAACTCATCCTGTCACCTTCAAAGAATTGTGCATGTACACTCCCCGGAAACAAATTAAGTACAGGCTGTAGACACTGTTTGGAATGCACCAGGAAATGAGATCACTGTATACTGCATCCAAGTAAATAGTACAATTTTGAAGGCAATACAGGAAAAGAGATACCTAACAGTGGAATTATCTAAGTCTTTAAAGTAGGCAAGATAAGCTGAATATGGTTATTAAACTGTTAAATTAATACCATGAAGTAGAAGTGACACTTCCATCACAAAATAAGACCCCAAGGCATTTTAGAGGTATAAAAGAAATAGATGGGCACCCCGTGAAAAGAAGAGGATGATGGGTCCATTAATTTTGCCAGAGATATTTTAAGGAAGAGTATAGAGTGCGAGACAGGATGAAAAGGCAGATGCGGCAGATGATAGACAGCATGGTTTTGTGCAGGGAAGGTCATGTCTTACCAACTTGATAGAATTCTTTGAGGAAGTGACAACGTTGATGGATGAGGGAAGGGTTGTAGATGTCATATACATGGACTTCAGTAAGGCGTTTGATAAGGTTCCCCATGGTAGGCTGATGGAGAAAGTGAAGTCACATAGGGTCCAGGGTGTACTAGCTGGATGGATAGAGAACTGGCTGGGCAACAGCAGACAGAGAGTTGTAGTGGAAGGGAGTTTCTCAAAATGGAGAACTGTGACCAGTGGTGTTCCACAGGGATCCGTGTTGGGACCACTGTTGTTTGTGATATACATAAATGATCTGGAGGAAGGTATAGATGGTCTGATTAGCAAGTTTGCAGATAATATGAAGATTGGTGGAGTGGCAGATAGTGAAGGGGACTGTCGGAGAATGCAGCAGAATATAGATTGGAGAGTTGGGCGGAGAACTGGCAGATGGAGTTCAATCCAGGCAAATGTGAGGTGATGCATTTTGGAAGATCCAATTCAAGAGCGAAGTGTACGGTAAATGGAAAAGCCCTGGGGAAAATTGATGCACAGAGAGATCTGCGTGTTCAGGTTCATTGTACCCTGAGGGTGGCAATGCAGGTGGATAGAGTGGTCAAGAAGGCATACGGCATGCTTTCATTCATCGGACGGGATATTGAGTACAACAGTTGGCAGGTCATGTTACAGTTGTGTAGGACTTTGGTTCGACCACATTTGGAATACTGCATACAGTTCTGGTGGCCACATTACCAAAAGAATGTGGATGCTTTGGAGAGGGTGCAGAGGAGGTTCACCAGGATGTTGCCTAGTGTGGAGGGCGCTAGCTATGAAGAAAGGTTGAGTAGATTAGGATTATTTACATTAGTAAGACGGAGGTTGAGGGGGGACCTGATTGAGGTCTACAAAATCATGAGAGGTATAGACAGGGTGGATAGCAAGGAGCTTTGTCCCCCAGAGTGGGGGACTCAATTACTACTAGGGGTCACGATTTCAAGGTGAGAGGGGAAAAGTTTAAGGGAGATATGCGTGGAAAGTTCTTTACGCAGAGGGTGGCGGGTGCCCGGTGCCCAGAACGCATTGCCAGCGGAGGTGGTAGAAGCGGGCACGATAGCACCATTTAAGATGTATCTAGACAGATACATGAATGGGCAGGGACCAGAGGGATACAGATCCTTGGAAAACAGGCGACAGGTTTAGATAGAGGATCTGGATCAGCGCAGGCTTGGAGGGCCGAAGGGACTGTTCCTGTGCTGTAATTTTCTTTGTTCTTTGAGTTTAAGTAGGGATAGCGTTTGCTGGAACGTATTGGCCCAAGGGATTTATACTGCTGCAAGAGGTTACAAATTGGCAGGGCTTAGGCCTTGACGTGATCTAAACAAAAGAGAATCTTACATGAGGGAGTGGAGAGATCAGGAGCCAATGTCAATGAGGACTCATGTTGCATGGTATGCAAGTAGGACAGGACACAGGACCAGAGTTTCGGATGAGCTCAACTTTAGAGAGCACACCGGGTGAGAAGTCCTCAATGAATCTGCAGGTGACTGAGGAATGCTTGAAGTTTTCAGCAGAAGCCTTGAAACAGGAACTTAATTACACAATGTTGTGTAAATCAATATAGGCTGCCTTTATAGTGGAGAGGATATAGAGTCAGAAGCTCTGTTTCATTGGCCAGAACTAACCACTCAATCTTTCATGTCCACCTCAACTATGCAAAGACGCAGCAAATACCTCAATCTTACCCAAAATCAGATCATCCTTTAAAGCAGCATTTCATCAGTAATGCACAATCAAACTAAATTATATCCTGACGTCCTGCACTTGTGTACAGGACCTGATCTATTCTATAAATAAACCATTTTGACTATATTCTAGCCTGGTCCTTACTGTGGGTGCCTATATGTCAATCCAAACTCAATTATGTCCCACTTTATCTCCTGGCTCTTTAGCAGGTATATCATTTTTAGGAGTCATGAATGAATTAAAACGTACTGAAATAAAATACTGCAAAGAACTTTAGATAGCGCTGGGAAAAAAATCTTTGAAGTAGTATTCAATTCCACAATGACTCTACCATCTCCCATAACCAGGTTCACGGGATATATTGATGAACAAATGAATGAAAAGTGAAGGGCCTGGAACAGCTTTCCATCAGCATTACTTTGAGGCAACGTCCACAACGATATCATATAATTTATGAAAGTATGTTGCATATTAGTTTGAATGACTTCTCTGCCACCCTGAGGGACTGATTCTTACTGCTGTCCAATTCCACAATCAGCATGTTTCCAGGTCACATGACTTGACAGCAGTATCATGATGTAACGGAGTTAGACAGGATCTCACCAACAAACACAAACTTGCCATCACTGGAGCCAAACGTGGACAACTTTCCAGTAACGACCAAGAATATTCTCAATCCACAGATAGAGACCACTCGAACCATTAAAATCAACTCAGTGGGAATCAAACCTTCCATCTTTTATGGGCTTGTGTAAGAATGCATGGTGAGTGACTCAGAGATCCTGGACATTTATTACGGAAAACAATTCACCATCCAAGGCTCTGTCTCAAAATTTATTATTATTAATCTTGGCAATAACAAGCAATCTCATTTTTCACAACAAGTGGTGGCACTGAAAAAAATATGCCCACGTTTGGTACAGGGGAAAAGTCAAAACAGAATTAAGTTTGGAACAGTAAAAAAAATTGGAAAATAACAAAGCTCTCATGACAATGAGTACATATCATTCCAGGTTTCACATTGGTTTGTACCCATTTCAGACAAATTCCAAACTTTACCACCTTCAAAAAAGCATCAATTTACACGCACCACTTTCATTGCCACTCCAAAACAAAAATCTATGTGTCACAATTAAAAAACAAAAATTTAATCAGCTGGTTGATCACTGGCTCTGTTATAGTCTAATCACTGATGTTCTAGCTGTACCTCCAAAACATACAAACTTTAAGGATAACCATTATTTGCAAGCTACTCCAGGTGGCTTAGCAAGTATATTTCAACAGTTTACATGTCAGGAAAGCCTGGGTTCACTCAGAATCCCTACAGTGTGGCAGTAGGCCATTTGGCTCATCAAGCCCACTAACCCTCTGAAAAGCATCCTACTCAGACTCACCCCCCTATCCTATCCCTGTAACCCTGCATTTCCCATGGCTAATCTACCTAACCTGCACACCCCTAAACCTATGGGCAATATAGCACAGCTAAGCCACCTAGCCTGCACACCTTTGGACTGTTGGAGGAAATCGGAGCACCTGGAGGAATCCCACACAGACACAGGGAGAATGTACAAACGCCACACAAACAGTCACCAGAGGATGGAACTGAACTTGGGTCCCTGCCGCTGTGAAGCTGCAGTGCTAACCAGTGAGCCATCCTCAGGTCCTCCTACAGGTCAGTTTGGTTTAGCCACTTGTAGGACCATATTTGTTGAGCCACAGCGGGTTGGTGGGCAGGACATAGGAGAGAGGTGGAGTAAGGTATGAAAACCATTTCAATTACAGTTTTCCCAATAGTGATTTACAATAAAAACACAACACCTTTCAACCATCAGATCAACCCATAATTTCAGCATTTACACACTCACTTCACTGAACCAAAATAAAAAAGTTAAATCACAAGAATAAAATTAACATGTGGTAGAATGACATCACACAGCAGATCAAATTCTGCTGTAATGTGTTTCTAACCCAACCCCTCACCTATCACAGCAGCACTTGACACACAGACACACATACAATCATCATGCTGTTTTTACAGATGACTCACTGACCATCTCTGTCTTCGTCATGTATATTTAGGTACAAGTACTCCAATCCCCTCCCTTTCTTGTAGTGCTCTGCACCCTGGAGTTTCGCCATGAGTGTTGTCTTGCCTGAGCCATCTTCACCTAGAGAGAATTGGCATTCATTAGCAGACACTGACAAAGTCAATAGTTACATTACAGAAGCAACAAACAAACTGCAGGAACAGCAAAAAAATCCAGCAGGCTGATACAAACAGCCCTGCCCAATACATAAGGCACAAAGTTTCAAAAAAGTTATAGTGATCCTGCTTCTCCCTCCCTTGAAGTTGCCAGATCTGAGTTTTTACAGCATTTGTTTCTAATTACAGAAGGCAATGATTACATATTTCAAAAAATTTCCACTTTAATTACATATACAGTGCAAAAATTATGCCTTTAAAGAAAAGCTACTGTTTTAAGGGACAGTAACACATCTTGTAACATCATTTGTTCTTAACTGCAAGCATTTGCAGTTATCATTTACAGAAATGGAGGCAACTGATTTGCATTGTGACAGGGCAAAATATCTTCAGACCCATAAAGCAGAAGCTTTAATATTTGGCACATTACAATTATTTTACATTATTCCATTTGTCACACACTTACCTAATACAAGGATGTTTTTCCCAGTGGGTAATTTGGATCGAGAACGGGTAGACACTTCACTCAGGATCGACGTCCTGCAGACACAAAAGAGACATCAACAGAAAGTAGATTTTTTATAATTCAACCTGGTCAATGATCATAGAGGATCATAGAATCCCTACAGTGTGGAAATCGACCCTTTAGCCCAACAAGTCCACACCAACCTTCAGAGCATACCACCCAGACCCATTCCCCTATAACCCACCTAATCCACACATCCCTGAATACAATGGGCAATTTAGCATGGAAAATCCACCTAGCCTGCACATCTTTGGGCTGTGGGAGGAAACCCATGCAGACATGGGGAGAACGTGCAAGCTCCACACAGTCATCCAAGGAATCAAACCTGGGCAATTGGCGCTGTGAGGAAGCAGTGCTAACCACTGAGCCACCGACATATAATGACACAAATCTGGAGCAGGTGGGGCTGAACCTGGGCCTCCTTCGCCAGAGGTTGGGATATTGCCGCTGCACCACAAGAACCTTTTTGGAAATGGCCGGGGGCAGGGGAAGAAGGCAAAAGGGGATAGATCATTTAATTCAAGTCACCAGCATCCCCAGTTTTATTGACTCTTCTCCTGGGCCCTACACTCTATTACTTTCTCTGCTTCTTTACCTGCTTTAAGAATGCCCCCGAAAATCTGCCTCTTTGACCAAGCTTTTGGGACATCTGTGATAACATCAATGAACATGGCTCAGAGTTAGGTTTTGTTTTCTGATGTCCCTGCAGAGGGTTTTCCTTCAGTGGGTGGGGAAGGGAGGGTAAGGGGAGGGGAAAGACAGACAGAGTTCAAAGCATTGTATAAATAAAGGTGGCTGTTATTAGAAACTAAAACAGAGACTTCTTTGGGGGGTGGGGTGGGGTGGGGGGGGCGGATACAGAAATTAAAAACAAAACCCGCCCGCCCACGGCCTGTGTCTCCAGGGGAATAGACCGAGAGGAAAAGGGAGGGAGAAGGGCCCGCCCGCCCGGGTGATGGGGAGGATGCCCACCACCCCAACCCGGCGCCTTCCTAGAGAGAAGAAGGATACAGACAGAGTATCCGTCCTACTCTCACTCCACACCTACCAGAGGTTGTGGCCCTCATCCTCTTCGGCCGCCTCTTGCCCCTCAGCCGCTCCGCCCAGAACCTTCCTCTCCCCCACAGGCGCCATCTTGGCCACTGAGCCCCGGATCAATGACGTCACCCGCCCGGCGCCGGCAGGTCCCCGCCCCTTGGGTGTGGAGGAGACCCCGGCTCTCGCCTGTTCACTTACACCGTCGGAGAAAAACAAGGCTGCGCATGGAATCGCAGCTCAATTTTAATTCATTTCCGGAAGCCTAACATGTCGGTTAATATTTGTTTTGTTTTTCTGTCAATATTCCAGGCAGCTGTTGAGGTCGGCCACAGGGGTGGTGGAACGTCACGTGGTTCTCCGATGAGGTCATGGACAGCAGCTTTCTCGCTGCTCCCGACAATTTGTTTGAAATGATTTATTGTTTAACGAGTCGCATTGTGTACCCTGGGCGTCTGTGGCAGCTATTATTTTTGTCTGGGCAGCGGCTGAGGCACCCAAACCACTTATGAGGGTATCCGTGACGTCATGTTGAATGACGCTATTCGCAAAGGACGGTGCGTGTACGTCATCCCGATGTGACGTGATACGGATGACGTGACAGGGTCTGGAATAGAAACATAGAAGGTAGGAGCAGGAGGCCATTCAGCCCTTCGAGCCTGCTCCATCATTCCCCACGATCATGGCTGATCCTCCAACTCAAGAGCCTAATCCTGCTTTCTCCCTGTAATCCTTGATCCCATTCGCCCCAAGTGCTGTATCTAGTCGCCTCTTGAATACATTCAATGTTTCGGCATCAACTGCTTCCTGTGGTAATGAATTCCACAGGCTCACCACTCTTTGGGTGAAGAAATGTCTCCTCATCTCCGTCCTGTGTATCACTTAAGAGGGCAGTGGAGGCGGGAAATCTTTACGAATCTTAAAAAAGTGTCACATGTTTCAAGGTTACAGGTAATGTGCAGGGAAATGGGACCAGTGTAGATATTAGTGTTTTTTGGCAGTACAGACTTGATGGGCTGTAGGACCTCTTCTGCACTGTGTGATTTTATGACATTCCCTGTACCCCGGCATACCATTTCTGTCAAAATAATCACCAAATGATCTCTTGAGTGCTCAGGATCTTTTGTTCCTTCAATGGGATCTTTGGTTCTATTTAGAATCCACTCTGAACTCAGCTTGTTCCCAGCACCAGCTGTGTCAACTGTGGGTCTACCTTGCAACATGGAAGGGTTACAGTACAGAAAGAGGTCTTTCAGCTCATCCTGCCTACACTGGCTCATTAAAGGGCACTGTTACCCAATGACAATCTCCTGTTTATTTTCCCAAACTCTTGCACACTATTTCTGTCTAAATAACCATCCAGTGCCTGTGTTGAATACCTCAGTTGAACCTGCCTCCATCACATTTCCAGGCAGTGCATTCCACACCCTAATTACTTGCTGTGTGAAAAACTATTTCCTCACTTCAGCCTTGCTTCTTCTATAAATAATTTAAAATCTATTCCGTCTTGTCCTTGTTCCTTTTACAAGCGGGAACACATTCTCCCTAAATAGTCTATCCATCCAGCTTACGATTTTCAAAGCATCTATCAGATCAGCCTTCATTTCTCCAAGGAGAACAGTCCCAATTTCTTCAAGCTATATCTTAACTAAAGACCAAAGTCTAGACCAAACCACCCTGGTTCAGGAAGGCGACTCACGATCACCTCCAGGGCAGTTGGACTAGGCAATAAATGTTGCCCTTGTCAGCACTGTCCACACCTCAAGAAATGCAACCATATATCTGCACTTACAAGTTAGGAGTGGTAGCCCCTTGAGCCTGCTCTGCCATTCAATAACAGCATGCTTCATCTGATTACTCTGCATTTTCACTTACCCCGAATAACCTTTTACCCCTTGCTTAATAACAATCTGTCTACTTCTGCCATTAAAAACATTCAAGACTCTCACCACCTTTTCAGGAAGAGTTTCAAAGACTCACGACTCACTGTGATTAAAAAAAAGTTTTACATCATCTTCATCTTAAATGGGTGACCCTTATTTTTAAACAGTTCTAAGTTCTTCCATAAGAGGAAGTATCCTTTCCCCATTCATGCTGCTCATCAAGAAGCCCTAAGAAAACTGGGGTCAATAGGAATCAAGGGAAAACCTCTCTACAGGTTGGAAGATGGTTGTGGTTGTAGGAGGTCAGTCATCTCAGTTCCAAGACATCCCTGCAGAGGTTCCTCAGGTTTCTGCAATAAATGCAACCTGGCCAGCCATGTCCATGTCCCACTAGTAAATCTGAACCTGTCCAACCCTTTCACATAAGATACCCTACCCATATTTAGGTTGTTAATTAGGTAATGATTCATTAAAAACTTGCTTCACATCAATGATTCTCAAACAAGATCTAACACAAAACCCCAAGGGGAGATATTGGGACAGGTGACCAAACGCTTGGTCAAAGCAATGCATTTTAAGGAATGATATAAAGTGTGAGGAAGAGGCAAAGGTTTAAAGAGTGAACTCCAGAGCTTGGGGCCCTTCGCTGTTGACTCCTGTTGTCATGGCACCGTCCACAAGTCCCAGCACTTCGTGCCCCTCAGGTGGACATTATTCATGTCTGAAGGCGAGTGATCACAGACTCCTCATCAACAATCTGATTTCAGCATTGCCCAATCCATTTGGCCCTGTCCTCACCATTTATATCATTCTCCTCCTAATCAAATCCTCTGACAAGTTCATCTTTTCTGGTCTCTGTGACCTCCTCCAGCCGTAAAACTATCTGCGATCCCTGCACTCTCTAATCATGGCCTCTTGTGCCTGCTCTGGTTTTAATTGCTCCACAGTTGGTGGTTAAGCTTTCGGCTGCTAAGTTCTGGAATTCCTTCACTAAACCTTTCTCTCCCCCTTAAAATCACTTCTCAAAGTTGGAGGTAGTACTGTACAATGTAGGGAAATGCAGTCAAGGTGAGACTGCTCCAGTAACACACTGATGGATTTGGCTGTGTCACCGAAAGTTGCAGGCCTGAGATTGATCTGACTTGTACACCCAACCAACAGACTTTCACATGGACATCTGTATCCAGGTGTTTCAGTGTTCGCTCAAATCAATCGGCAGCTCCTCCCATCCTCCTTATCATCCCCCAACGCCACACCAGTGCTGCTGAGACTCTATCCTTGTTGTTAATGGTAGTTCAGCCAGCTGGAGACAGGCCAGCTTGTAAAAACTGAAAGAACTGCGGACGCTGTAAATCAGGAACAAAATCAGAAGTTGCTGGAAAAGCTCAGCACGTCTGGCAGCATCTGTGAAGAAAAAAATCAGGGTTAATGTTTTGGGTCAGGTGAATTAACTTTGATTTTTTCTTCACAGATGCTGCCAGACCTGCTGAACTTTTCCAGCAACTTCTGTTTTTGTTGGCCAGCTTGTAAAGTTTTGAGAGGTCCTAATATTCCGTAAGGTGCTTTATAAATGCAATACTTTTATTTTGATTTTGCTGCAACATGAGGTGGGACCAGGATCATAAATAGCTGTGAATCAGATGTGTCTGCTCCTCTGGAGCAGGATTGCACTGTGGGAGTCACCATGAACTCAATAGGCCAAATAGTCTCCAAACGATTCCATGACAGTAACTGTATCCAACATACAGGTGGTAATCTGTAGCTACTGGAGTTGGCTAAGTCCTGGAGCCACAATTATTTACAACATTATTCAGGACTTGGATGAGAAAAGAAATTTATAGGCAAGTTTGCAGATGACGCAAAATAGATTTAGATTTTTTTAGATTTAGATTTTACTGTCACATATACTCAAGTACAAAAGTACAAGAGTTCAGTGAAAAGTGTGTAATGTTGCCACACAAGGTGTCATCTTAGGTACAAGTACCTAGGTACAGAATCTTAAGAACAAGGTAGAAAGAAAGAACAAAGTTAAAAGTTAAACATTAATTCTTAGTATTAAGTAGCAAAGTAATAAATAAAGCTAAAAGTCAAACATTGGAGTCTTTCGAAAGTGCTTAGCCACGCTGGGATCGCACTTCGTACAGATTCTTGATCTCCTCTTCTTTGCCATGCCTTCCCCACACAGTCCACTCCAGGAGTCCTCACACTGGGCCTCCGACGCCACCACGGAAGCAACCGCTGCTCCTGTCGATCCATCCGGAATATCGATTTGGGCCTACTGAATTGCCGTAACCGATCGACGCCAACTGCAAAGGCCGCCCTGCCGCTGAAAGCCAATGCTGCTGCCAGCACCTCAAGTCCTGCACTGGGCCCACCCAGCGTTGAAGATGCCCTGCTTCGGTGTCATCACTCACCTCTGGACCCACAATCACTGCCATCGCGAGCTCCCTAAGGAGCGGCCACACGCACTCAGGAGGACGGGCCTGCTCTCTCCCTGCCGAGAATGCTGAAAGGCCTCGTCTTCAGCTGCTGCCAAAGTGGCCACGAGGAACGGCCAGATCCACTCCACTGCTGCGGCCTCCCGGAATCTCCTTCCTCACCTGAAGCCTGAACTAGGTGTTGACCCGGCACTGGGCCTTGCCTCAATAGAAGCCACCAGGAACCCAAACTTACCTCCACCATCGCTGCCCCGAGTCCATGCTGCTGGGCCCACTCATCACCGCCAACGCTGTCACCAACACTGAGCTCTTCACCAAGGGCTAAGTAAAACAAAAAAAGAGAAGAAATAAACAAGAGGAGAGAGAGAGTAAAATTACAGAAATGAAAAGTGGACGGAGCGGGCAAGCCCCTGGCTCAGAAACACTACTCCACTGCCATCTTAGGTGGGAAGGCAAGGGTTGAGAATGACACAAACAGTCTGAGAGGGATATAGACCGGTCAAACAGCTGGGAACAAACTTGGCAGGTGGGATATAATGTGGGGAAATGTAGGATTATACACTTTGGCAGGAAGAATAGAGGAGCTGAATATTATTGAGACAGCGAAAGACTGCATAAAGCTACAGAACAGAGGGCTTTGTCAGTCCTTGTCCATGAATCACAAAAAACTACAGAAGGCAAATGGAATGTCGGCTTTTATTTCAAAGGAAATGAGACCACAGCTGGAACACTGTGAAGTTTTGGACCCCTTAGCTAAGGAAAAATATACTGGCATTGGAGACAGTTCAGAAAAGGTGCACGAGGATGTTATAATAAGGTGTGGAGCTGGATGAATACAGCAGGCCAGGCAGCATCAGAGGAGCAGGAAAGCTGACGTTTCAGGTCTGGACCCTTCTTCAGAAATCAGGTTGTTACAAGTTCT